CCCTTAAAATATGCTCCTTGCTTTTGAAAATGCCTCGAGAACGGCTCCCTGGCTCCCCCACCTGGTGAGAATGCTCTTGTATTTGAACACAGCACACTTTAAAATGCGGAGAGTAAAAAATAACCTACAGGTTTTTAGTTTTCAAATGTTTTTCAGAATTTTAAAATAGCCTACCAACGGGGGCACCAAATAAATAATTAGAAATCATGACACAGAGCTGGCGCTGTGGCGTAGCAGGTTAAGTTGCTGCCCGCAGTGCTGGCATCCCATATCACTCCGGTTCAAGTCCCAGCTGCTCCACTTCCAATCCAACTCCCTGCTAATACACCTGGGAAAATGGCAGAAGATGGCCTAAGTTCTTGGGCCCCTGCACCCATGTGGAGACCTGGAAGAAGCTCCTGGCTCCTGGCTTTGGCCTGATCCAGTCCCAGCTTTTGAAGCCAATTGGGGAGTAAATCAGGGGGTAGAAAATCAATCTTTCTGATCTCTCTCTGTCTCCCTCTCTCTCTGTGACTCTGCCTTTCAAATAAATACAATAAGTCTATTTTAAAAATGTGATGTATAAGTATAATCTAATTGTGCTGGACTCTTTCTGTTTGGTTAGTTGAATGCCTGATTCTACTCTATCCCATTTTGGGAATACTTTCTTATTACCCTGTATGTCCATCAAATGCTATTTGTAACTTTTTTAAAAAAGATTTCTTTATTTATTTGAAAGGCAGAGTTACAGAGAGGTAGAGGCAGAGAGAGAGAGGTCTTCCATTTGCTGGTTCACAACCCAGATGGCTGCAACAGCTAGAGCTGGGCCCATCCAAAGCCAGGAGCCAGGAGCTTCTTCCGGGTCTCCCACGCAGGTGCAGGGGCCCAAGGACTTGGGCCATCTTCTACTGCTTGCTCAGGCCATAGCAGAGAGCTGGATGGGAAGTGCAGCAGCCGGGGCACAAACGGGTACCCATATGGGATGCCGGTACTGCAGGCGGAGGCTTTACCCACTACACCACAGCACTGGACCTGGGAATACTTTCTTTTTTTGTTTTGTATTGTTTATAAAGATTTATTTATTTATTTGAAAGTCAGAGTTACACAGTGGAGAGGGAGGGGAAGAGAGAGAGAGAGAGAGAGAGAGAGAGAGGTCTTCCATCTGCTGGGTCACTTCTCAATTGGCCACAATGGCTGGAGCTGCGCCGATCTGAAGCCAGGATCCAGGAGCTTCTTCCGTGTCTCCCATGTGGGTGCAGGGGCCTAAGAACTTGGACCATCTTCTGTTGCTTTCCTAGGCACATTAGCAGGGAGCCGGATCATAAGTGGAACAGCCGGGACTTGAATGGACACTCTGACATGGGATGCTGGCATCCCAGTTGCTGGTTTAACCTCTGCCCCAATCTGCAATTGGAGACCCTGTGACTCCAATCTGCAATTCTTCTGGTCTGCTTGCTCAAGTGCTCTCCTGGAAACAAACCCTGGTCCCAACAGAGCTCAGATCCACCTTCAGTGAGGCTTCTCTGGTCATAGTCCCATTCAGCTCAGATCCAAAGTCAGTTACTTCCTGCATGTACTTCAAGTCCTAGGTCCCTCCTTCTTTTCATCTCACCTACCTGGGAAACCCTCAGCCCTGGAGTTATCTTCTCTGGTACTTAGCTCCCTATCACAAACCTACTAAAACACCTAGGGCCAGTGATGTGGCATAGCCGGTAAAGCTGCCACCTGCAGTGCCATTATCTCATATGGGCACCGGTTTGCGACCCGGCTGCTCCACTTCCCATCCAACTCTTTGGTATGGCCCGGGAAAGCAAAAGAATATGGCTCAAGTCCTTGGACCCCTACACCTACATCGGAGACCCGGAAGAGGCTCCTGGCTTCTGGTTTTGGATGGGTGCGGCTCTGCCCTTGCGGCCAATTGGGGAGTGAAAAAACGGTTGGAAGACTCTCTCTCTCTCTTTCTCTCTTTCTTTCTCTTTCTCTCCTTCTCTCTGTGTAACTCCGACTTTCAAATAAATAAATAAATAAATATTTTAAAAAGTTCAATCATTTCTTTATGTTTCTGTTATTTCCCTCATGTTAGAGCAACTTTCCATCCTTCTTTCCAAGTCCTACCTAATTCCAAGATTCGGTTGTAAAACCAGGACACAGTATCCACCTGGCCACACTGAACCCTGAATGAGTTTTTCACTGCTTTCTTGCGGCTGAACTGCTAAGATGGTGGAAGTCTCATTTCCTATGTGTTCAGAACGTATCGCAGCAACTGGACTGTAAGCTCATTAAGAGCGAGGACTTTGGTCGATTACTTATGTCACATTAACAATCAATAAATACCTGTTGATGTTTTAGTCTGGGCTTCAGCACTGCATTGAAGCAGTACCTTTGGGACCATCAAATCCATGACTTCTCTATTACCAAAAAGCAAATAGACTCTGAACGATAAAGTGATTTGATCACAGTCAAGCCTTTTGATTTTAGTAGAGCTGATATTGTGAGTTATCTCTTTCTTTCTTCTTTTTTTTTTTTTTCCCCCTCAGCTCCAAGGCTACTTGCCATCTGGTTTTGCTCTAACAAATGGAGTTCATTCTTACCAATTTTTTTTTTAACTTGAGAGATAAAGAGACAGAGAGACAAAGTTTTCTGCTGTTTTACTCCTACATGCCAGCATTGACTGCGACTGAGCCCCACTGAACTTGAGACCCGAACTCAATCCAGGTCTCCTATGTGGGTGGCAGGAGACCAAGGACTTGAGCCATCACTGGCTGCCTTCCAGGGTGTGCAATAACAGGGAGCTGCAATCAGAAGCAGTAACCCCGCTACTCCCAATGGGATGCAGGTTTCCCAACCGATGGCACAACTGTTTATTTTTTTTTAATATTTATTTGTTTATTTGAAAGTAAGATTTACACAGAGAGATAGGGAGAGACACAGAGAGACGCCTTCTCTCCGCTGGTTCACTCCTCAATTGGCCACAATGGCCGAAGCTGCACAGATCTGAAGCCAGGAGCCAGGAGCTTCTTCTGGGTCTCCCACACTGGTTCAGGAACCCAAAGACTTGGACCATCTTCTACTGCTCTCCCAGGCCATAGCAGAGAGCTAGATGGGAAGTGGAGCAGCTGGGACTCGAACCGGTGCCCATATGGGATGCCAGCACCGCAGGCGGTGGCTTTACCCACTATGCCACAGCACTGGCCCTGGCACAACTGTTTTAACACAGAACACTTACATATTTATTTTTAAAAATTTATTTTATTTATTTGAAAGGCAGAGTTACACAGAGAGGTAGAGACAGAGAGAGAGAGGTCTTCCATCCGCTGGTTCACTCCCCAGATGGCCTCAATAGCTGGAGCTGAGCTGATAAGAAACCAGGAGCCAGGAACTGCTTCTGGGTCTCTCACGGCTGGTTCAGAGGTCCAAGGTTTTTGGCCATCCTCTGCTGCTTTCTCAGGCCATAGCAGAGAGCTGGATCGGAAGTGGAGCAGCCGGAACTAGAACTGGCACCTATATGGGATGCCGGCACTTCAGGCCAGGGCTTTATCCGCTGTGTCACAGCGCCGGTCCCGGAACACTTACACATTTTTATGGGGAACAGTGCAATAATTCACACCCAGGATTAAGCAATCAAAACAGGCAACTAGTCTATTTCCTCATCTTTATATTTGGAGCTTGCCTGCTCCTCTTTACACTGGGTATTCAGTACACAGTACCTTACTGGGAACTGTAGTTGCCCCACTCTGAAGTCTTTAATAAAATTTCTCAAACTATAGAAAAGTAGAGAATACTGCCTGTCGCTCCCCCTCTTCGCGGAGGAACGACACAGGACCCTGCGTTGTTCTTTTGTCTGCTCGGCCCTCCCCGGGTTTGCTGCTGGTTCTTCCCGGGTTGGCTACCGACCCTTCCACCTCCGTGGAAGGGCGGTTCCCCCTGCCACTTTCCCCACTTCTGCGGGGGAGCGGCACACCGCCGGCCGGCTCTCTCGGGGGCTGCACAGGTGTTCCTTCAGATAGATGTTCCTGGTGCATGTTGTCTCTCTCCTCCTTTATAGTCTCTTCCACCAATCCCAACTCTGCTACCCACACGCCGAGTACTCTGCTCTCCTCCAATCAGGAGCAGGTCCTGCTGTTTATTGGTTGAACTGGAGGCAGCTGTGTAGAAGCTGTTTCCTCCTCTCCCAGCGCCATATTGTGGGAGAGCAGATGCATAGAATAAGTCTTAATTCCAGTAACTTAGTCTAGTCCGAGTTGCTCCCCACAACTGCCAATGCTTCCCACTTATCTTTTTGATTTGTCAGCTCTTCATATTTTTCCTTCATGTATTTGCTTGAGCAGTCTTCTTCAATTCAGCTTTTTGGATAGCTAATATGCTTCTATGTTCACAAAAAGTACAATTAAGCTCTCATTCCACACTGTTTATACATATTTCCTCCCAGCTATGTGTGCATTTGAGCAAATACAAATATGTTTGGACTCACTCTTTTTAAAGTAGAAAAGGTAAGATGTGCTGGACATTTTTGTGCCTAGATTAACCCTAACCTTTTTGTTTGTTTTTAAAGATTTATTTAAAAGTTAGAGTTGAGAGGGGATGGTCTCTCGTGTGGGAGACATGGCCCCAAACACTTAGGCCATCTTCTGCTGCTTTCCCAGGCCATCCGCAGGAACTGGATAGGAAGTGGAACAGCTGGGACTCGAACCGGCACCCATATGGGGTGCTGGCGCCCCAGGCGGAGGCTTAGCCCACTAGGCCACAGCGCAGCCCATCAGCCCAAACTCATTGTTTTAATGAGTGTGAAACCTCTGTGTTCCAGGAATTCTGTTCACTCTACAGAGGTGGTAGTTTCCCACCCAACACTGGTTCCTTTAGCCTTTTTACTCCCACTCACTTTTCTAAAAACCGATGTAATTCCAAAACCTAAAGCTCCCGCCCAGCGCCGAGCAAGCAAGGAGGGCCAGTTCTGAGAACCCTGCAGCCAGGAAGCCACGCGTCCCGGAGAGAGGCGCCCGGGCTTCCGGGGGGCGGGGCCGGCGGGCGGGGCGGGGCGGGGCGGCTCCCTGAGGCCCTGCCCAGGCCACGGACGGATTTGGCGCCTAACGACGAGCCCTCGTCTCGCGGCCGCGGTTTGAGTCTCGCGAGAAGCGCCGTTTCCCCTCGACCTGGACCTCCGCGTTGTGGTTGATGCTTTCGGAGTGAGGTGAGGCGGCGCGGTGGTGGGCGAGTGCGGTTCTGGAGGATGGTGGCGGCCCAGGAGGCAGGCTGAGGACCAGAAGACTGGGGAGTCGCGGGGAGGGGACGAAGGGACTGGCGGAGAGGAGCGAGGCGGACCTGGCCCGAGCGGGACTGGCCGGCCTCGACCTGTAGGGCTGGACGCGTTTACCTGTCTCAGAGTTTCGGGGCTGCCTCTCCCTGAAGCGCGGGATCGTGTTCCTGATGTGGCCCCCTCCCCAGCTTCTGCACGGGGGACTTCCAGACGTGCAAAGCGTGCTGTGGCCCTTGGGTGAATGAATGAGGTTGAAGCCACTGTGCCGGGGAGCGAGGATGAGGAGAGGGCTGGGAGTTGTGTGTCTTGCAGGGGTGGCACCTTAGTGGGGACGTCGGGGGCTTCCGTCGTGACAGCGCGGGAAAGTTGGGGTGTTTGGAGTTAGATTTGTGGCCGGCGCTTGTCCGGGACTAGAGGTGGAAGGAAGACAGCCTCACTGAGAGTAAAAGGAGGCGGTCACGTGGCCGGTGACCCGGCGTGAGGTGTGAACATCTTGGTCACTGCACAGATTAGTAGGAGTCACCTTTTTGATGAGCCCACACTTGCTGGCCTCCAGTTCGGAGCTCCCCGTCAGCCTCCAAGGTGTGCACCCCACGTCTACCCGCAGGGCTAAGTCGGCTTCCTCTAGCTGGGGACTGGCGTGGCATGAGTGACCTGCTGCTGCCCTTGGTAGCTTACCTGCAGGTACAGTGGGGCCTCGTCGGGAGTCGGTGCTTTGCTCATGTCTTCGTGGGCATAGAGATTTCGAACTGGTGAGCTTTTAGAGATCATCCAACTCCACGAGTTCCAGTTTGGGGGGAGCTTTGGAGTTTTTTTTTCTTGAATTCCTTCATCGAGCAAATCCAGAGTGAGCACCTGCTGTGTACCAACCAGCATTAGGGATGCAGAGGTAGAGCATGAGGAGACCCAGCTGGTCTTTGCCCTTTCAGAATTGGAGTCTGGTACTGGAGATGAACATTAAAGAACCCTGCAGATAAGGTTGTTGGAACTGGGCAAGTGCTTTTTTTTTAAGATTTATTTATTTGAAAGAGTTACATAGAGAGAGAAGGAGAGAGAGGTAGAGACAGAGATAGAGGTCTTCCATCCACTGGTTCACTCCCCAGTTGGCCACAATGGCCTGAGCTGCGCTGATCTGAAGCCAGGAGCCAGGAGCTTCTTCCAGGTCTCTCACGCAGGTGCAGGGGCCCAAGGACTTGGGCCATCTTCTGCTGCTTTCCCAGGCCACAGCAGAGAGCTGGATGGGAAGTGGCGCCCATATGGGATGCTGGCACTGCAGGTGGCGGCTTTACCAGCTACGCCACAGCGCCGGCCCCAAAGGCAAGTGGTATTAAAACTTGTACTTGACACTGAACACTTACTAAAGAGGGAGTTTTGAGAAGTTGGAGTAGATTTTTCTGAGGAAGTGAGATCTGAGATCTGAAAGAATTAAGGCATCAGTGAAGAGCTTTCGGGATAGGGAACAGCATTTGCAGAGGCCGGGCGACCTGAGCGATTGACACTTTCAAGGCATTGAAAGCAGCAGCCTGTAGTGGTGGGAGGTGAGGCAGTGGGTGAAAGAAGAGGCCAGATCTCTCAGGGCCTCGGAGTTTTGTCTTTATCCTGAGAGTGGATGTGCATAAGTCTCACTGGAATGCTTAAGTCTCAGTGTAATCAACTTCATATTTCAAAGCTTCCGTTTAATTGTATGGAAAATGGGTTGAAGGAGGCAAAAGTAGGGGATAATCCAAGCAAGCAATTTTTTTTTTTTATACTTATTTGACAGGCAGAGTGGACAGTGAGTGAGAGAGACAGAGAGAAAGGTCTTCCTTCCATTGGTTCACCCCCCAAATGGCCGCTACGGTCGGGGCTGTGCCGATCCGAAGCCAGGAGCCAGGTGCTTCCTTCTGGTCTCCCACGCGGGCGCGGGCGCCCAGTCACTTGGGCCATCCTCCACTGTACTCCTGGGCCACAGCAGAGAGCTGGACTGGAAGAGGAGCAACCGGGACTAGAACCTGGTGCCCATATGGGATTCCGGTGCCGCAGGCGGAGGATTAACCAAGTGAGCCATGGCGCCGGCCCCAAGCAAGCAATTTGGAGAAGTGGTTTTCAAGGCAAGGAGAAATGCACAGGTTCAAGAGAGATTTAGGAAATGGAATGAGGATGCGGAGGGGGTTGGGGAGAGAATCGTCAAAGATAAACTTGTAGGTTTCTGATTTACAAGCCAGAGAGAGGACATTACTGAAGTGGGAACATTTGGAAGTTTAGCTTCATACGTGGTGAGTGATAGATGCCTTTGAGATACTTAAGAGCTGCCAAGTGGGAAGTCACTCAGATTTGAGGCCTTGGCTAGGAATAAAAATTAGTCATCTGCAAGTAAATGATTATTAAAGCCATGTACACAAATGAATAAAGAGGGCCTACCTAAGATGGAGTCTGGATGCTTAATGGTCAGATTAGAAGAATATGAACCTACAGAGAAGATTCAGGAGTGTCCAGAGAGGGAAGAAAACTTGGGGAATACGGAAGACGTTTTCCTAGAGAAGGGGATTGACCAACAGTATCTGATGTTACTGTGACTAAGGTGGTCCTGAAAAACATGGTTTTAAGTTACCAATATGAAGACAATTTCCCATTCCTCAAAGGAAACCTTACCTGGAAGAGCAATTGGTAAGCAGAAGTAGTTAATGTAAAATTATTGGACAGTTATTTAGTGGTAGGGTCTGCATTAGAACTCAGTTCTGATTGCTAGCCTAGTCATTTCTTATTCTTTCCATAATTGTTATCTTTCTTACTTCTTTCCATGATGTGTGAGTTGTGTTTTAACTAATTGAAACACATGGATTTTGCTGCAGGTGGAAGTTGATGAATAACATTTGATTTAGTTAGTTGAATAAAATAATTTTTTAAAAGATTTATTTATTTGAAAGGCAGAGTTACACAGAGAGAGGAGAGGCAGAGAGAGAGAGAGAGAGAGAGGTTTTCCATCCGCTGGTTCACTCCCCAACTGGCCGCAACGGCCGGAGCTGCACTGATCCAAAGCCAGGAGCCAGGAGCTTCTTCCAGGTCTCCCACGTGGGTGCAGGGGTCCAAGGACTTGGGCCATCTTCCACTGCTTTCCCAGGCCACAGCAGAGAGCTGGATCAGAAGTGAAGCAGCCAGGATTAGAACTGGTGCCCGTATGGGATGCCCGCGCTTCAGGCCAGGGCGTTAACCCGTTGCGCCACAGAACCGGCCCCTGAATAAAATAATTTTGCTTCTTTCCGCCAGAGTAAGAGATGGGAGAACCACAGGAGGATGGCTTGATTGACCTACCAGATTACGAGCATACAGAAGATGAAACTTTTCCTCCTTTTCCACCTCCAGCCTCTCCAGAGAGACCTGCTGAAGGGGCTGAGCATGATGAAGGTCTGTAGAGAGTTTCCGAACAATGTTCCGTGTTCGGGTATCCATTGATTGGCTCAGATGTAGTACGTTTTATAAGGAAGGCTTCAATTATGTAAGTAATTCTAAATCTCAGTATATTTCATTAGAGTCAGGGACTGGAGTACCTGTTCCTGTACCTCCAAAGAGAACAGTTAAGAGGAATATACCCAAGCTGGATGCTCAGAGGTACAGTCACTATTTTCTTATGCATTTATAGTTTTTCTTTACATTCATCGTTCTAATGCGAAAACTTTTGGTTAGGATGATTGAAAGATCAGAGTTTTCTAAATATTTTTTCCAGTTCAGTAGAAAATATTTTTTCTTCTTAATAGTCTTGGTTTGGATATGACTTTAAAAGACTTGAGATTCAAAATTGTTTCTGTTTACAGATTAATTTCAGAGAGAGGACTTCCAGCCTTAAGGCATGTGTTTGATAAGACAAAATTCAAAGGTAAAGGTCATGAGGTAAGAAAAGTTGGATTTTCATTTTTAAAGGATTTATTTTATTTATTTATTTGAAAGGCAGAGTTATAGAGAGGCACAGGCAGAGAGAGAGACATATTCTATCTGCAGGTTCACTCCCCATATGTCTGTAACAGCCAGAGCTAGGCCGATCTGAAGTCAGGAGCCAGGAACTTCCTCCAGGTCTTCCACACAGGTGCAGGGGCCCAAGGACTTGGGCC